AAAAAAAAAATGATATGCAATGTTAGATAAGCATTTTTCTCGCTTTTTCAAAGCAACAATATTTATTTGAGTGCCATAAAATTATTGTTAAAAGAAAAGAAAAGAGAAAAAAGTGCAAGTGCTTTGCGGAAGGTTTTGAAAATTGATGACTCCACCAAATTTCACACATCAGAAACTGAATACTACCATAATACAACGTCAGATCATTTGCTATTTCTTTGTTCTTTTTTTCCATTTCAGAAATGAAAGCCTCAGTTTGAAAAAAAAAAAATGATGCCAAAACATCAAAACATATCTTGTAACACTTTCCATTTTCCTCTCTAAAGTTCAACTCTCTGACTTCATTTCTTACTTTCCAAATTAATTTCTTTGACCACTAAATAAAGTTAAAGTTAAAGTTAGAAGTAAAGTTTATTCACACAACTGCCAACTAATTAAATTTTAACAAACGTTGAAAAGAGGATATGAGGTGAAAAATTAAGAGAAGTGGAGAAGCTTCAAAGTAAAAATTGACTTGTGACATAAACAACGGCATCACAAAAATGGCATTAATAAAAATGACTCAATCAACAATCAGTGATAAATAAGCTTCAAATTAACGATAAAATAACAACTTTGTCTACTGACCAAACTTTAGACAACCTTTGAACTGCTAGCCTTTCACTTTGCCTAGAATGTGCATTTGAAGAACTACTGTTCCATTGCATTCTTCACTACTTCTCCACCTCCTTCAGTCAAAAATTCTACTGACAATCCGGCACAAGAGATAATTTTAAAGTAGTTACAGTATCTTTTCTATCTAATTGTCTATAAAGCTGTGTATCGCCACAGTCGACAATGCTCTATCAACGAAAAAGGAAATTCAGACTACTCAGAAGTCGTTGTTGTCACTAGCAGTTCGTCTGTACCATTTGAAAAACAAAAACGACAAATGACACAATTAAAAGATTTATCTTTAATGACAAACTTTGAAAACAGCCCAAAATTGTATGTCATTCATGGAGTAACACTCTTCCATCCACCTCATAAAACCTTGATATTACCGAAA